GTCACCTCTAAAACTCGGAGAGCTCGTTATCAAGGATCTTAGTTATGAAGAAAAGGCAGGGTGAAGAATCTGAAAGCCCATGCTCAGGATGAGAAAAACATAGAAGATCAAGAGCATGGAGTCGGCTAAAGCAAATTTTTTTTTTGAGAAAAGAAAAGAATAAAAAATTGACGACATTTTGTGCATAAACACCATGCTACATTATCAGAGAGTTTTCAAAACCGGCGGGGTAGCCACACTATGATGCATTACATGGTGACATTATTTTTATAAAACAACCTTTTTTATTGGTTCCTTATAGAAACTGTTTCACCTTTAAGGCCTCTTATCAAAACAGAAAAAGTGGGCAGCTTAACTTGGTTCAAGTGTGCATGACAATGTCTGCGAATTTTTTAGTTTTTTACTGATGTTGTTTCAATGTCTTGAGATTCAAATGGATGTCCAGGTACCAACAGGTACTTACCTTCAGCATTCAAGTTAATCCTCATAGACTCAATGAGCCTTTTAAAATCTTTGCTTTGTTGCCATAAGACTGAGGCATGCCGGATTATCTTGGTCGAAAATTTGTCCCAATTTTTTAGAAGTAGATCACCTTTTCCTGGGTAAATAGTCTCGAAATCTTTGCAAATCTGTCAACAAATGAGGTGAATGTGTGTCAAGTAAAAACTTTTGCTTGAATAAAATCGTACAATAAAGATCAGTCAAGATATCAATACCTGACTGAATAATAGGAAATGACAGTGATGTGCTTTGTGGGCTTACGAAGATTGCTCATCAAGGTATGCATGGTGATAATTGTTACTTTTCTGTCTTGCAATTGGAATAAATTTTGCAATTTGGAACTATAAATTCTTGCCCGGTTTAAAAACAACGTATGTGCCATTAGTTTCCCTATGCAAATAAGTGTTTTTCCAGAAGAGCCAGGATTCATAGTTCCAAATTGCAAAATGTAGTCCAATTGATATACTTAAAAAAGATGGCAGCGCGTGTATGCGGCAAGGGGGGGGGAGTCGTTCCCCAAGTCTTTGAGGACTTTCTTTGCATAAATAAAGGGGAAAACAGGTGATATTTACCATGATAATCACCAAAATTGCGTTGTAACAGTGATTGATTTCCAAAAGATTTCCTATGCAAAAATTCCTCGGCTGAGAATGAAGCCTCGTAGAATACCCTCTCAAATCTATCTGTTTTCTCAAAAATCGGCCTGCATCATAATATAATGTTGAATGAATGAATGAATGAATTGAATGCATTTCATGGCATTGAATTATCTATTGGGAATGGATTTATCTACCTAATATTTTGTAGGAAATGCTGAGGTTCTCCATAATGTACCCTACCCGGGGTTTTGTTATTCTTAAGTCGCACTTTGACTAAATTCAATCGGTTCAGGATCGGGACCATAACAGTCCTTTATACGAGATACGCTAAGTGCTTGAATTCCTCATTCTTCCATACCTGAAATTGATACACCTCCCCTACGTGCACGTAATGCAGCACGCCGTGTTTTATATAAATTCTATCAAGCCTATAGTTACCTACTTATTGCACGCGTCCATCACGCGTCATTAGTATCAATAACGTAGAATTTGCTCATAAATAGGTTTTCTTACCAAAACGAATCCGGTTTCTTTCCCGAAAGCTGGAAATAGCAGCAGAAATTCCAGAATACTCTTCTTTCCCACTTTTCGAATGAAGTCTTTTATTCTTTTGGAGCAAGTGACTCTAAATTTCTCAATAGCTTCCTCAAGGGGCTCAGAATGATTTTTCGTCCAACTTAGGTCCTCCTCCGGACACTGATCGTCATTAGCTTCATTGTCTTTAAAAATCATTACACAAAACAAAACAAATTAATTCCTAGATAAAATTAAGAACGTATTCACTTGTATGCAAAAAAAATTCCTTGTTTTAAACAGGATGTCACAAGGTCAATGCGCCAGACTTCAGGGATCGATTTTTTTTGTGATAAAATAATACATTTTTGTCGTATAAATTATTTTATGAAAATAATTTTTTTCTACGCTCCAGCCCATCAAAGTTGAGTCACCCAAATTTGCCCATAACCTTGGCTCCAAACGTCAAATTTCAATGAAAATTTGTAATTATTAGCGTCATTTTCATTTTTTGTGATTCCAAATGCTTGCGATTTCATTGGAAGATGACGGGCAACGTCTGTACTTACATTAAAAATGACCGTAACTTTTGAGCCTATGAAAATGTTTGAATTCCGACTGCACCAAGTGAAATCCCACGAAATGTTTATAGTAAATGGCACATAGCGTGTTTTACCAAAAATTGGCACTGTAAAAAAAATTATTCACCGAAAGCTCCTGGAAGATAGGCAATAAATCAGCCTTGCACATGCACTAGGGTTGCTTGCCTTTACGGGCGCTTTCACCTCCCCAATCCATTTTCCATTTTTTCCGGGTAATTTCGTTATAAAATTCCCCAGACAAAACAGTCTATGGGCGTCATGTTAGAGCTCCGAGCTGGCCACGGTGCAGCACGCCGATCGTTTGCCGAACCGCGGCAATCATCGGTAGTTAGAAAACATTTGAAAATGGATTGTGGAGGAAAAAGCGCCCGTAAAGGCAGGCAACCCCGCATCTGCAATACTGATTTGCAGTCTACCTTTCAGGAGCTTTCAGAAAATGTTATTTTTTTTACCCCGCGCCAGCTTTTGGTAAAACACACTGCTAGCCTAACTTTATTAAAATTTCACGGGCTTTCACGTGGTGCATTCGGAATTCAAAATTCCTTATCGGCTTCAAAGTCATAGCCATTTTTAATGTGCAGATGTTACCTACCGTCATTCCATGAGATCGTAGACATTTGAAATCACAGAAAATGGATATTACGCTAAAAGTTATCTGAATCATTCAACTTACACTGGCATTTGGTGTTTGGCGCCAGGCGTTGGCGTTTGGAGTTATGGGCAAAGTTCGGGGGAAAATCCTCAAATTTGATGGTCTTTAGCGTCGATAAAAAGGATTTTCAGAAACAAATTTAGGTATAGAACAGAAGTCTTATTTTCACCCAAATTTTCGATCCCTGAAGTCTGCCACATTAGCCCTGGGACACCCTGTATGATATTAAATGACTGAATAATGATGATTAAATATAATAAAAAAACATATGAATAAACAGAATATGATATAAGGGAAGCGTCAACAAGGACTCCTCCTTATTTAGCCGACACTCATGCACTTCCACCGTAAAACTGTTAATAATTTCTTACAACTGCAATCGCATACATCAAGGTAGGCATCTAATTTACACCATTCACGAAATCCTTGAACCATGACGTCCCAATTTACAGAAAAGAGGTAAAACCCGGAGTAAAGTGAATCAAGGGAGGCTGAGTCTATCTGGTGTTCCTTAAATTGATGTGTCACATTCAAGGAAGGGTGGGATTTGCCATTAGGCTTAAAACGCTACAGCCTCAAATGCAACATTTTGTAGACTTTATTCCATAATGTCAGGAGGTGCTGAGGATGGAAAATATAGTGCATTTGCATTGAATTTACTATTTAGAGAGGGGCGAAAGCCTCAAAACTGACGACCCCTGGCTTCTTTTGTTTCTAATGTGTAACATGGCTCATGGGTATTTGAACTTTTGCCTCTTTTGCATGTCATGGCATGTCATGCTAAAAAGACAGAAGTTCAAATATCCTTGTGTCGTGCTATTACTCATGACTACCAATAGAAGCCACGCTGCATAAGTTTCGCCAATTCCGTCCGTCTAAAAGAATAGAGGAATAAAAGAAAACAAGTTTAATTTTGAACACAACAATAAAGGCCCGTGATACTCATGATGACCCTAAAGATCATTTAAATCTTACCTCCTAAAACATACACCTCCCAAGGAGCTTCTCTTAATTTTAGGGCCTATTTTATTATTCCCATCGAAAAATGCTCAACCTTTAGCTTGAAATTCTCATGGTTTAAGAAATTTGAAAATGTGTCGTAACGGTATCTGAATGAGCCAGTCAGAGGTAATCAGACACTTTACCTAGAGGTATCACTCAAGTGACTTCTATACTTAATGGTCTAGATTTTTCACTGTTTTACCTCTTTTCTTATCTGATGTTGATTGTACTCTGATTGATATAATTATAAAGCTGCTGCAATGAAATCAGTACAAATTTTTGGTAATTTCTTACGCCCAAACTAAAACATTCAGTTTCAACGATATTTATGGTGAAAGCTCGCCCCATTTCGATCTATAAAAATAATGTTGAAACTTCAATATAAAGTGACGAGAATAAATTTAGATGAGCTGAATTACAAAAAAGCTGTACGGATATCATACTAGGTACACCTTGAGAGTACATACCGCTATCAGATGATTCCCGCAACGGATCCAGATTTCTTCCTCCGATTATTATATTTTCCGCTCGGAACATTCTTCGTTTATTTAGCCAATTATTGTAAAGTTTTCCTTTAGCCCTGCAAGTTTGATTCAATGTATTTTTGCGAGGAGGGATGTAGTACGTCTCCTCTGTTTCACATGGAAAGAATTTAGTGATGGCTCTTGCCATGGCAGAGAACCTTTGGGGCATGATTATTTTGCTGCGATCACTTTTTAGTTCATGATGAATTACTAGTTTGGTTAATATATTTTTCTTACTTGCGGGTAAAGAACCATGCCTCTGAAACCATTCGATAACTCCATCACCATCAACTGATTCCTGTAATAGAGATTTAACCCAATCCTCACTAAGCGAGTCAAAACTCAGAGTGTCACTCAGATTTTGTTGCGGAGAACTTTGTCTGGTGACATTTTTTACAGTACATGGTGTATGTTGATGGCTGGAATGTGCATCTGTATTAAATGATGAAGGTGGAGAGTTGGATTTATGAGAATTTTGAGATTTTTCGGCTTCAGCTGTTGAAATATTTTGCTGCGATGTTTCATTGCTTTCAACAAACTGACAATTAGTATCAGGATTACTGGATGTTGTAGGTGATTGAAAACTGAGTGAACCAAAATTTGTGCCGCAGGTCTCGTTAGGAGAGCAGTTGACACTTGCCTTTTTGACTTCAGCTGTTGAAAAATTATGCTGCATTGTTGTATTGGTTGCAAAAATTTTAGGATTCGTATTAGAAGTGTAGAATGTTGGAACTGATTGAGAACTGACTGTACTACTGACTTGAATAATATGCACGCCCAAGTCCCCGTTGGGACAAGAGTTGACAATTGCATCTTTTAGAGAGACATTGCGTTTGCAAATGTTAAATTCAGAAGAACCTAGTGATGATCCATCAATAGGAGGAAGTCGATTTACATTATTTTCCAATTTTTCAGAAGCATGAGTTTCTACGTCTGCTCTGTTAAGGGGATTACTACAGCTTTTTAGCCCAACGCTTAAAGCAGTTATATCATTTTCAGAGTCATTATTTGAGATCAAATCTTTCAGAGAAGTTTGTCTATCAACGGTGTCTGGTTGCGATGAGCTGTGCAGAACAATGTCAGAATTAACACTCTTTTTGAAAGTTGTAAAAAATTGTTTCAATGATACATCTTTAGATACTTGAGATTTAGCAGATGGTACTTGCTTAGTAGGGTTCGTCTTGGCTTCCTTATCAGGCGTGAATCCTTCTTTAAGTTGCTGAGCGAGATTATTAGGTGCTCTCCTTGATTCTAATTTTCCAGAGGCAGAGGGATACACTCTACTTGTCTTAGGAGTTGAGATCTGATTATGATTTAATTTCTCGAAACACGAGAGATCAACGCTTGTTTCTAAAACGGTGGTGTTTTGGCCAACATTAAGGATTTTGGGAGGAACATTTTCACCTGTTACCTCCGTTTCAGTGCGGTTGAAAACGTGGACATCAACAGAATTTTGGTTTGATGACCTATCCTCAGGAATTGGTGTTACAATATTCTCTTCGGAACTTGGTAAGAAATCCTTTAATGACAATTCTTGAAATGAACGGGGCTCAGAATTTTGCACCTGTTGAACAGGCTTTGTTATGGTCGTCTCATTAAACGTCGATCCTCTTTTACGCTTCTTTAAAGGAACGACAGAAGATTTTCTTGATCCCTTATGCTGAAACACAAATAAAGAGGACACTTGGCTAAATTTTGGATGGCTAACGTGCAAATACCTGTACCTCATAGGGTCCATGCCAGCTCCAAATTTTTGAAAAGCGTCAAAGGGACTACCCCGAGGACCTGAATGATATTGTTAAATTTACTTTCTCAAAGGTCTCAATTACAACTGAACCCCTCCCCCCTCCACCCACATTGTGAGAGACATTTAAAAGCCTACT